TCTTGCCAGCGGGGGAGCCTCGCCAGGCTCCGGGATCTGTTCTTTGATGTGCGCGCGCACCGCCAGCACGTCACCCGAAGTGACGTGCGACGTCAATCACGTTGAAGGCGTGGCCCCAATCGGCGGAGGGAAAACCATAGAGTTTTCCCTCCGAGGATTGGGGCCACGCCCCCAACGTGATTGACGTGGTTGCGTCACCTCTGGTGACGCAGCCACGCTGCGCTTCGGGGGGGTGGAGTTCCCCCCGGGGCCCGATTCTGAGGCGGCGGAAATCGGGCCTCCAAAGCGGGGGTTTACCCGCCACCTGCCCCCACTTGGCAGCCCCACCCCCAAAGCACGCGACTTGCCCAGCGTCAGCACGTCACTCGGAAGTGACGCGGGTGCGTCGGGCGCGTTGGGGGCGGTCATCCGAGGGAAAACTCTATGGTGATGGTTGTGGCCCCGCCCCCGGCGTGCCCGACGTGGTTGCGTCACTTCCGGAGCAGCACTGGAGTCCCCCACTCTACATACAGGAAGGCCTTGGCAACCCTAGTGCAATGTTATATTTATCAGGGTCCACAAAGTGGTGAACATGAAAACAGTCGCTCAGATAGAAATGCATCATGTCATAAACCTCTGTCTTGTCCCCCCTTAGTCATCTCTTTTCTAAACTGAAAGTCCCAGACAGGGAAGGTGCTCCAGCGGCTGCACAGGGCTTGAAAGGCCAAGACCAGCCCCTTGAATTGAGCCTGGAAGCAAATTGGAAGCCAGTGTAGGAGAAACAGGACTGGAGTGAGATGCTCCCGACAACCAGTGTTCCCTCTAAGCTGAGTTGTTGTGAGCTAGCTCAGAGTTCTTTAGCCTACGGCTCAAGCATTTTTGTCTTAGCTCAGGAAGGATGGCTCCAGAGCAAACTAATTTATGCAGTGGCCAAATCGCTGGCTCACAACTTTAATGCCAGTAGCTCACAATATAAGAATATGGAATATTTGCTCACAAGACTTCACGGCTTAGAGGGAACATTGCCGACAACTCCATTCCTGTTATGGTTGCCAGCTCCATATTGGGAAATACCTGGAGATTTTGAGGGTGGAGCCTGAGAAGGGCGGGGTTTGGAGAGGGACTTCAGTGGGGTAGAATGCCGTAGAGTCCGGCTCCTGAAGAGGCCATTTTCTCCCGGTGAGCTGTTTTCTGTTACCTGGGGATCGGTTGTAAAAGCGGGAGATCTCCGGCCACCAGCTGGAGGTTGGCAGCCCTAACTCCAGTCGACACTCTGGCTGCAGCATTCTGTGCCAACTGTAGCTTCCAGATAGTCTTCATGGGCAGCCCCACGTGGAACACACTGCAGTAATCTAGTCAAGATGTTACTAGGCCATGCGCCACAGGGGCAAGGTCTTTTCTGCACAGGAAGGGCCACGGCTGGCTCACTCTGCAAAGTTGGTGAATGCGTCCCTGACCACCACTGCTACCTGTTTATCCAACAAGAGGCCTGGGTCCAGGAGCACCCCTAAGCCACAAACCGGCTCCTTTAGAGGGAGTGCTACCCCATCCAGTACAGGGGATAGGCCATTTCCCAAGCCAGACCTTCCCCCCACCCAGGGGTCATTTCGTAGAAAAAGAGGTGCAGGAGCTCATTAGCATAACTTATTTGCATATGCCACACCCCCTGACATCACCGGAAGTGTGTCAGAAGGCAACACCCACCGCTCAGGCTCCACTGGACTGTTTTGGATTTTTTGGATTGCTAGCTATTGGGGGGGGGGGAGAAATGTGCAGATCTGTCCTCACAGAGGAGGGGGAGCTTGTACCTGAATAAAACTTGGTCTTAAAGGTGCCACTGGACTGTTTTGGGCCAGAGGGAGGGCTCTGCAACTTACCTGGCTGCTTCTTGCTCTGACTGAGGGCTGCTGGGAGCAGGGGGTGGGGCTTGTTGCATGTGCCTGCCCCCTGGGCTCTTTACTGCCGGAGCTCCGCTCCTGTGCGCTCCTGCAGGAAATGACCCCTGCCCCCACCAAAGGGTTGCCAGGTCTGGGTTGGAAAATACCTGGAGACTTTGGGGTTGGATCCGGGAGAGGGCGGGGCTTGGGGAGGGGCCTCAGTAGGGTACAGTTCAAAGCAGCCATTTCCCCCAGGGGAGCTGATCTCTGTCACCTGGAGATCAGTCGTAAAAGCGGGAGATCTCCAGGCCCGCCCTGGAGGCTGGCACCCCCGCCCCACCAGGATCACCTGCATTTTGTCAGGATTTTGTATGGCCACTGGTGCTTCACAATGGCAAACTGAAACTAAGCCTTGCTGTCTGTGATCAGGTTAAGGTCTGTCTAGTCCAGTCAGGGTTGCCAGCTCTGGGTCGGGAAATAACGAGATTTTGGGGGGTGGAACCTGAGGAGGGGCCTCAGCAGTAGTGTTCCCTCTAAGCTGTGGAGTCTTGTGAGCAAAAAGTCTACTTTGGCGAGCAACCGGCATTAAAGCTGTGAGCGAGCCATTTGGCTGCTGCATGAATTAGTTTGCTCTGGAGTGCCATCCTTCCCGACTGAAGACAAAAATGTGTGAGCTGGAGGCTCAAAAATGGTGAGCTGGCTCACACTAACTCAGCTTAGAGGGAACACTAGGCTCAAAAAACCTTTGTCCAGCCCAGGAGAAAACCATGGTTGGCCAAATAATGCAGCTATAGGGGAAATACCTGGGGCTAATATACAGACAGACAGACACACACACAGCTCAAGATGGGTGGCTGTGTGATTCTGTCTGTAGCAGCAGAAAAGAGCCAGAGTCCAGGAGCACTTAGAAGACTAACAAAATTTGTGGCAGGGGAGGAGCTTTCCTGAGACACTGCTTACTTCTTCAGATCTCTGTAGAATGTTCTACCCAGTTTTTCAGGAAATTAATGTACAACACTTCTACCTATTTATAAGTTTTATAAAAGCCATTCAGCCGTAGAAGAATGCTTGACTGGGGGTATGTGTTTCTGTATCTGAAAATACAAAACTATTGATGGATATTGGATAATACATTGCTATGTTTGACAAAAGTATACGTGAAAGATCCTGGAACACCAATAGGTCCTAGGAAATTACCTGGAAGACCAAAAAAAAATTAAGAAAAATAACAGCTTGCACTCAAAGGAATAGAGAAGATAATTTTAATTTATTGTCTCCTTTTAATACTTCTATTGTTTGTTTTTCTTTCATTTTATTACTACAGTTCTGAATAGAGACATTGTATTTTCTCTATCAAGGTTTGTCTAAAAAAGTTATCTTTACTGAAAAAATACCCAGATTTTTCCTTCTACCCCCCCTATATTTGTCCTAAAAAGCTTTTTTTCTTCTTGAAAACAGTTATTGAGACGTTTTAAATCCATATATAACCTAGAAATATTAATATTGATCGGGCTGCAACAAAAATAACTCCTTTGTAGCTGAAAAGCGCACTTCATGATCAACAGGTTCAGTAACTACGATCACAGGAAAATAAATACCAGACTCAACACTATTGTGTTAAGGACTTACCAGCAAAAACTTGGAAAATGACAGAGACCAAAAAAATAAAAATGGAAAGTCGCCTTGAGAAAGGTAGTTATAACTGTTTTAAATAAAATAAAGAAATAAAAATTCACAATACATGGTATACTGGTTGGACTACAGCTCAGGTGGTGCATTTACTAAAAATTCCAATCATTCCAAAAGATTTCAGCACTATGTAGAGGCAGAAACTTGGAGTGCCATTTGCCAACATGGTGCCATAGCCTGGTCAATCGTAAATAATTGAACAACACAGGCAAAGGGACTCACCTCTCCTGCCCTCACTGCCCCCCCTTAGCACCCTCCTAGGTAATCCCACCGCCCCCTAAAGGCGGTACCACCCTCATCAATAATCACTGATCTAGCCTATTCCTCCAGTTCTGGTCAGCCCTCAGACTCTGGGGAACTTTTAAAAAAAGACATGAAGGAACTACTTCTTCACCCAAAGAGTAATTCACTCGTGGAATTCACTGACACATGAAGTGGTGGCAGCTATAAGCACAGACACTTCAAGACCACCACCAACGGGTGACTGCAAAGCAATACCGCTGGGTTACGCTGACTGGCCATTTGAACATCGGGGCCATAGC